TGAAGCACTCTGCCTGCAGAATATTAATACACTGAATTCTTTCTTTACATAGTCCACTATCTGCTATATTAATATAGAGAAACCACTTGAGTTTACAAGGCAAGCAGTGGCACTGATAATTAAAATAAAGAAAAGAGCTGCTGCTATACAAAAAAGCATATTTTGGAATTCATGCCTTAATATTAATTTCTGTGTGGATAAATCACCGACTGTGACCGGTTTATTTGTAATTAAATAGTCACGTCATAAATTTGAATGCAGCATTAGATTTTAAGTTTGTTAATTAATAGTAAGTGGATCAAAGTATGTTACATTACGCATAAAAAGAGAAGACAGAACAGTGGGCTCCTCTATTAGATGACAACCTAAACATTTTGTCAGAAATGGAGACCCAGTTCTAGTTCCAAGAATTTCTATTTAAGCTATAATATAAAGAATCTTTTTCTTCAGCGTCAAATTACAGGAGATTATTAAGTCATTAAAATAATCTTTCGGGAGGCGTTCATTCACCGACTGGTCAATTCTTAAATATTAAAACATCGTATAAACATTAGTATTAGATATTATTTACAAAGATTGATCCAAGCCTTTGTCATATACAAGTGACTTTGGTTATAACGACAATCGGGCAATTAAAAAAAATACATGTTGTTGCGCGTAAAACAAGAATTCATACGGTTTTAATCATCGTGACAACATGTTACTAATAGACTTTCTTGGGGGCACTGCCCACAATACTTCGCTTAATTAGTATCACAAATAATGTAGAAACAACTTTTATATAAAGTCGTTGTCTATAAATTATATTACTATTTTTCTAAAAATCTTAAGAGAATTTTGTATATAGCGTGATTGCACATTAACTTTATTGTTGTTTAGTATATTTGGTTATAATAAACGACAATATAATAATTGTTGGCAAAATAATTGTTGGTGAATGTACTGTCGATGAAATGATTGTCGCTGAAATGAACCGCACTCGTTAGCCCATCTTATCGAGTAATTTTAACTACCAGTTTATCTTATGACAGACTATATAGTTAATATGATTTCCAACTGACCGCTTTTCAATTGTGGAAGCATTCCAATGTGTTGTTAGGATTAAGTGTAGTAGTCAAGTAATATTAAATTTAATGCTTGCTTGTTGAATCAAATTTATAAAGGCAAAGTGAGTTATCTTGTCAACAATTATAAATACCTCAATGATCTAAAAGTATTGATTTCCTCCTATATTTACTATCAGTGCTAAGAAATTCTCTTACATTTACGCGTATTTTATAAAGTATTCGGCCACGTTCCCCGCCGCGGTAGTAAAAGCGTCATTATTTTCGTGTTAGAGTTGACACCTCTGCTTAGTCCTTGTCAGTACAATCACTGGAAAGTAATCAATCCTCATCCTATAGAGTGAATGGCAGTGACCCAACAGGTGATAACGTAAAAAAATATGTTATTGTTTGTATATAGAGTATTTTTCTACATAGAGTAAATAATACTGTACAATTGCCAATTTGTGCTGTGACTGTTGAGACTTTGTGCGGTCAATAACATAATGAAATTTATACTAGTGAGCTAACCCAACTCCATTCTTCAATAGAGCAAATGACAGTCCTCTGATACTAAATAACAATGAAAAAAATAAATTATTGACCTACTATGTCAGGCTCTTTAGATTTTAGACTAGTTTCTGAGTGATGCTAGAAGGCTATTATAAGAATTAAATAATTGGGCCCGCGGACTGAAAAGCCAAATTTAAATTACTGTGCTCAAAACATTCAGGAAAAAAAATCATCTAATTGTAACCAAACCAACCCTTTGCAACATAAACATAAAGATACTACTTCAGTGATCTTATTTCCAAAATGCACATAAATTATATTTAAGGATTTATGCAAACATGCAGGACAATTCTATATGGTCATGACAACTTCTCTTATAGTTTCAGCTTCTATGTTTTATGCTTCTTACCTGGGCACATGCATTATTCTTATAGAATAGTAAAGCTAAACGACTTACTAATGATAAAGTTACTATGATAGAGTTACAAGTTGTTATAATGACAGATATGTACATCTTCTAACATATTGAAATTTTGGGAAAATAAAATATGCCAGAAAGTTTTGGTTTTTTCTTTCGAGCAGCTTATTGTATAGGTTGATTACAACAAAAATCTAATGCACTAGCACATACTATTATGTAGATGCAATTTTCATTATCTATTTAGATAGAAACTTATCAACATTTAGGACAATAACAAATTGGCTTGAAAACGTGATTATAATTTATAGGGTTATCATCACCATGCACCAATCCTTTGATTACATGGACCCTGTTTAGTTTCAACGCAAATTATCTATCATTCCAGTTAATAGAGAAGGTGATATATGTAGAATGACGTAATTTAACCTTGTAAATCCTCTACTAGAAATACCCAATTGATAATTCTGGCCAGCAAAGATTTCAGCTGTATCTTTGACACTGCAAGTTGCAACTCTATTTAAGTCTTAGACAATTTAGCTATATAATCAAATAGTAATAGGCCATATTGCGACGGCAGTAGAAGTAAATTTGGCTGATGACACTATAATGTAAAGCAGTAATTTTATTCCATTGAGAGCATATGATAAATGTACACAGTTCATCTTTGTGATTCGAGTTTTAGCTTTCAGCAAATGGTTTGCTCCCGGCAGAAACTCTTGTGGTAGAATTCCGACTTTAACCAATGCAGATATCATGACATGTCTCTCAAAGCCTACTCCCCTCCTTCCCCCAAAAAAGATAGGCCCTATTGTTGATACGATCAAGTGAAACGAACAAACAGACCCCCCCCCTCCACGTTTATTAAAACCTATTTCGTAAGAGACCCAACTAGATTTCAGACTTACAAAACAATAACATTGCCATTCGCCATAATAATAATGAGGGAATATAGGTAATATACATAAATGACAAGTATCCCATGCAGTTGCGCCATATGTAAGATTATGTTTACGACAAAAACTCACACCGTTATTATTACTTAATGTCCCAGTCCTCCAAATGCGTCGAATAGTACAAATCGAACGTGGAAGAGGAGATCATCAACTTTGATCTACAGTTCCCGTCCCGACTTTTGAATTTATTATGGTAAATACCTTGGGTATATTTACCTTAACTAGTCAAATTTAATTTTGTATAAACAAAACGCAAATGTTATGACCAATAAAGTTACACATTAGAAGTGTATATTCTTGGGTTTTTAGACCATGGAAAGCTTCCGTTTGTCCCCTGTCGATCCTTATTATTACACAGTATAATACTTTAGACCCCCAAAAATTTCCGCCGATGTGTCAAGTTTGATTGATCTACAAATTAATATGCGCCGATTACTTATTATTATATTTCATGGGTGTGGGTTAAACTCTCATTGAATAATTAGTAATTGTTCAGGTTATCTAATATTGTTTATGTTTGGCCCTCGTGCAAAGTTTAATGAAAAAAGGGGTGGGGACGATTTAATAAACAATGTTGGTTTAGATACGTTTGTTGTTTCAGACGAACAATCGAAATGCTCGAGAAACTGAAACTTTTGAGCTGCTGGGGGGGATGATACTAATGCCCGCATAATATTAATAGATACTAGCTGCACAACGTAATAATTATGTAAAATGAGAACATCTGCTTGTTCTTGTATGACAGAGTTCGCATGTATGTTTGTATATTGGAAAACGTATTAGCCATATTACTAATTAAGTTGTTATTAAAATGTACGCTCAGCCACAGCATTTAATATAGATTAATTAGTTATTTAGACCCGAATTGGGAAAGTGTCAATCAGGTGATGGTAGGAAGTGAATGCACTTTAATGTGTCATTGCTTTATTACATTACAGATCCAGTTCGCTTAATAAGAGTTTTCAATACGAAAACATTTATGTGTGTTAGTTTGTATTCAGTTGTCTACGTTTTGACGACCAATGACACAAAGAAGATAAATAAAGATCAGTGTTTCCTTGTTGATAATGACCGAGCCGCTGGGCCCTATGACTTGCGGAAATGACTGCCTTTTGGCTGTGTGACTTTTTTCTTTCCCTTCGTTTTCCGACCATATGTTTCCATCTTTCTGCATTATTGGCTTATGGCCAGAATAGGCTAACAAGCGTAAACAATACTGCCCGTGCGCAGGTCGAATAAAGAAGGCCAATTCGACAATAACGGTAAACTGATATCTATGTGTGACAATCAACGGTCTTTGTCATATTTTGCTGTTGACGAAGAGATGCAAGCATGTATAACAGATCGAATATTCTTAACAGGTAGTTAGAATGACAAAATTTCGCTACAAGACAATAGCTATCGATAATCGGTATTCATTGCGTAACACCGGTCGTATTTTGCGCAACCTCCAAGGTTGAATTATGTATGCTAATAAAAGAATGTAGACCTTATTTGCAGATGCAGAAGATTACACAATGTCTTTAATATTACCAAATTTGCCTTAAGATTAATACTTCATTGTGATTCTTTGTATCACAAAATCCCTTGACATACTAAATACTATGTAAGTTAATTAAAGAGTCAAACCAGATTTAGGTAAATTAAGTACCGACCTAGTGGATATAATGTAGGGACATTGATCTGTAATCCTACTCCGCGGAAGTTAATATTTCCGACTGCGGTAATGTACACGACAGACTATGAATGGTAAATAAACAAACGTATGATATTGTCAATCCGCAGTAATCATCCCTAGCCGTCTATCCTAGTATTGTTCGGAAGAGATGGCGTAACTAAAAGTTGCGTAACTATTCGCAAGAATCATGGCTAGAAAAAGCTAGTCTGGTCTGGCAAATGATAATCGTAAAAGCGGCAATTATGCCTCTTATATTCGGCATCACTACTAGGATGATTATAATGCTTGAATTTCAAAATCTACATGTTGTAACATAACCACTACATGACGGCACGGCAGTAACGGAATGCAGTCGTATTATCTCAAACGCCTCATTCGTAGTACTGATAATAATGTTTGCCAAAAGATTGTTCGGCAATGTAGGTGGGAATTGATAATCACGAATATCTAAATGACTATCGAAAGGAGAAACACCAACGTGTTAAACAAAGGACAAGAACAAAGAAGACTGGACCAGTCAAGGTTGGACCACAAACGTTGTCCTGCGAGAATATGAAAAAAATAGAGGTCGAAAACTGTACAAGGGAATATGAAATGCAACTTTTGATAACCCCCGTAATAAAATATTGATTCCGATTCCAACTCTATCGCGAATATGCAAATATTGTCCACACGTCAGAAACTTATTAAATTTAAGGTTACGTAAAACCCGACAGAATGATTTATTTTAATTTCTGATTAGTTAGCATCGATCACATTTCGTAATACCCACATTTTTAAAAATTAACCAAATCCAAGTTATGATTCGCCACTTGATCATTTGCCTCTGCATGCCTATCTTTTTCTTTTTTTCTTTTTTTCTTTAATTAATATTCTGCCTTTTACCTACCAATTTTCTTTGTTATCAGTCTCATCTGAGATGTGAACGCCCCGTTGAAGATCTGCAGTTAAATGAGAAGAATTCTATTTATAGTAATAGTAAGATATGCATTATGCAAATCCGGAATGGCGTCATGCAAATCCTCGAGTAAGAACGCCCCATGTTCCAACCCACACAACCCGACTCATCAACTAAACTGTCTAACCAACCGGCTGACTGTGTAAAGAATCCGGCATCAAAAAACCCCACTTGGTATGTTTTCCCACGCTATTAAGACAGCAGCACTTTGCTCTTATCTCGATTGCTAGGGACAGCACATGCATACACTTTCCAAGTTTGTCATAATCTTATTCTCTATATATCTAATTTGTATGACTTCCCTCCCGCCTTCCCCTTTACAAACGCAGTATAGCGTATGATCGATCGACAGTCGATAATTAAAAAGAGAAGGAAAAAAAAAAACAAAAAAAAAAAAAAAAAACTCCCTTGCCCCGATTTCTGAACTTGGCAATTAAATTAACGGGGCGCAAATATTATTAATAGAAAAAAAAAACGCCTTTTTTATTTCTTAACCGGTTACCAAGTATGTAACTGTGGTACTCCCGCCAAGGATTTACATATGGACTTTTCCGATATTTATCAATGTTGAAGATCTGCATTATTTGGGCAAATAAGTAATATGGTTATCTATCTCCGTTATCCAGGTATTGACCAGTACTGAGTGGTTCCCTCACTCATCCTCTTGTCCATTCTTATTCTCATTCTCGTTCACTCACTCGCCCTCTCTCACAGCTTCCCTTTCACCAGTGCTTTTTACTTTTCACATGCCTATCATGGTAAAAGTGCTTTGTTGTTGCTTTGTTAAAAAAAAAAAAGTCAGGGATTTTGTATGATCGTTACACAATCCTTCTACATCAATATGGTCATTCTCTCGTACCCTTTCTTTTGTAAGCCACATGTCTTTCAGATGAAAATGCGGCTGCTAGTTTACATAATCTGGAAGTTTCTAGATATGGGATAGAATATGTAATACGAAGAAGGGAAGCGGAGTACGCTCTGAAACGAGTCGATTGGTAATTTGTGTGTGTGAATGTTAAAATATTATGGTATTTATCTGCCGAATCTTTGCGAGCTTGGTTTATTTGGCAGTCGATTATCTGACAAAAGGGGGGTGGTGGAAATCTTGACTAAACAAATGGGTGAAGTACAGTATGAACATTATGAATCAAGTTTAGTGTTGAATCAGGTTTAGCCGCTGATTATCTAATTTGTACTAGTATCGATGTACGGAAAATACTGTATCAAAGCATCCGATATGCACCCCGTACCTATTATTTTCTTCACTCATTTATTAAACGATATAATCTTGTAAATTGGTTTATTTATTTTTCCCACATACTCGGATAGATCCAACTTAAACCTTAATCCCAGTGTGCAACATACTTTTTTTTTTCCTCGCTTCGACTGAAAACTTTAAATCTAACCGAAGAGAGCATTGGTGGAGGTACCCGGCTAGAAATAATCATAATTAGTGTTTGGGGATCGTGATTAGTGCTGAGAATAATGGTGTTTGTTGTATAACGCAATATCTTTTGCAAACAACGCCCCGTAAATTAAGCTATACTTTTTCCTTCTCCTTGCCACAGGTAGATACTTAATTAGGTACGCTTTTGTTTTCAGACGTCCTACTGGTGCTGGTCAAAACTTTCCGTATTGCAAGGAAAGCAATGTAAAAGTTATTCCGGAAACACATTATCAGAGACATGGGATGAAAAGCAAGTAATTATCGACCCAGCTTGTCATTAATTATTGAATGAAGCCTTATTTGTTTGACTGGCTCAAAAACGATTATTACAACTTCACCTGTTGTCTTTACACGTGCAAGACTGTCTCGAAAGAGTGAGCTTGTAGCAATGTTTTCGCGGACAATTTCGTCAAGAGTTGACGATTCGTCCAATCACAATTCATTTGCAACAATTAATTATGCATGTATGTGCAAAACCCATGTATATTTAAAATATACATATGCTAATTTTTTGAAAATGTCGCAATCAAAATAATAATGTTTTCGTTCATTCATGCAAGCAGCACCCTTTTTTTTTTCCAGATAAATAATGCTGTGCAACGATGTTAGAGGGAGCGAAGATAAAGCGATACGATTGTTATTGCTGAGACTGCATTCTACTGGTCGTGTTGATGAGAAAGCGAGAGGCTAGAGCATTAACAAAGGGAATGTTCACCAAATAAAGCGTTTGTGTATACGTGTATGGGTGTTGTACATTACATTGTTGCATTTGTGTTTGTATAATTGTTTTTATAATGCGAAGGTCTAACCTCGTGACAACACAATCAGGGGCTATCCAAGATTTGGAAGTTTGGCTGGTTGATCTCATGACAAGCGTAGCATACCGTAGTCTTCTTCTTTTTCTTCTATTCTCTTGTCTTCTTTTTGGCAAAAAAAGGGTGTTGAATGAATGAAAGGTTACAAAGAGTTGGACTTGTAAACAAGCCATTGCTGCTCAATAATAGAGTTTAAAACCGAATTTAATCCCATTTACTATAATATGTATAATTAAAGTAATTGGGGAGGGGGGGGACATAAACAGGTTGACATCAAGTTTCTGCACGTAACTGCTCTTTTTCTATTGGACGGTCGATGTAACCAAAATAAGTTTTTGGCAAATAAAAAACTTAAAACCGTAGAAGGCGAATGGAATGGGAGTGAGAACTGGGTCAGTGACACATGATAACAATTAGCTCAAAGAAAGGGCCGTATATATGTATCATTCAGCCATAAACCTGCAAGCAGCTCAAGAGGTCCACCTTAGTTGCGTCTAATAAAGGGCACGAAATCAGCCATAAACCTGTATATACAAGCCCCGCCTGGTTTCTGATGACTAACAATTGCTATTAATAACTATTGTTAAAGATAGTTTGCCCAATGATATTCATTCGTTATGGGTTACAGTGTTGTCGCATTGTAAAGCGGCCGGCATTCAACCGTTAAACGCTCAAATTTTGTTATCTGATCTTTTAGTAAACGCCGAATATCAAATCAATAACTGATACATCAAACAATACATTTATTGCCATTCATTACGCTGTTCATTTAGGTCATTGTCCATTCATTAAATCTCCATTCATTGCGATGAAATCGATGACTTGAATGGGCGATAACTGAATGGTCGGGTGTGTGGCGATGATTTGAATGCAGGCGATGACTGAAAAATGACTGAATGGAACTCTTTTGATTTTATATTTCCTCAAACCTCGAACTTTATTTATTTAATTTATTTGAACATCATAATTTCTTTTTGTTTCTTTTTGTTTTAAAATTTTTTTTTTACAGTTTTGCAATAATCATTTTCCTCAAGCAAAATTAGATTCTGTTGTTGTAAAAAAGATAAAAAGTAGCACACATATTAACAATTAAAAAAAAAAGGGTTGCCGGTATTAGTAACAAATAGAAGAGAGAAGAAAGAAAAGATAAACCAGAATCGGAGTGTCATATGTCCCTCCTTTTCCTAGCTTTCTCCTCAGCACAACCCCCCATCCACTCGTCCCATACGCGGCTAGTTGGAATAAACAAGTTTCATTTGTACATGAAAAGATGGTTGTTAGTAAAGAAAGGAAAGTAAACGTAAAATAACGATCCGAAATTTCGGGGATGAAAAAGTTATAATACAAAGAAGGAATGAAATTCGAAGGGAAAATTTATAATACAAGATTATATATAATAATACGGAAAAGAGAACAATTCAAATAAAACGTAAGATAATGGTATAAAGGGATATAATCGGAAGATGATGGATATGAAAGGGGGTTAAAAAGGTGTGATATATATTACACTGGGTTTTATCCGTTTGTTTAGTCATATTTCATAACTTTTTTTCGCACAATTCGAGAAACTCTTTTGCATATCAGGAACCGACTTGAAAGAGTCGGTTAAATAAAAAGTATTGTTCTTGTTGTAATGTAATTTGCAATTCGTTGTAATTCGTTGTTGTTGTTGTTGTTGTTGTTGTTGTTATTATTATTGTAGTTGTTGTATTTTCCTCGTTTGTAAATAGCTGTTGATTTTTTTTCCTCTGCTTCTTTGTGGCATGTTATAAAAATTTGCTTAAAGGGGAGATTTCGTTGTTCATGAAATGTAAAGAAAGAAAGCTCTGCGTTCTTTCTATAGGGCAGTATAAATAAAATTTAAAGTTTGGTCCGTCCCATTAAAAAAAGGGGGGTTTATAATTAGGGTGAGTAACTATCCCCTTGATATTGAGCCGACTCCCTTAGAAAAAGGGGAGCGGCGATTTCTCAGCGCACATTTTTTGGGGATTAACAGACTAGCAAAATAGACATTTTTGCACAGTCGGAAAACAAAGGGTATAGTACTCTGTCATATAATGCAATATAGATATCCAATCGATAGAGCTTTGATAAATTGTCCATATGAAAAACTTCTTGGTATTGTGCGAAAAAAGTTCATAGCTTAAATTTTCTCTTTTCCGATTCGAGTAAGTAGAATAAAGGAATATAAACTCAATGTTTGCTGTTCAATTGATATACGGATGGTGATGGTGATGATAATATGTCGTAAATAGATGTTGTTTGTGTTGTGTATGGTAGTAAAGTTTTCCCTTCAAGTGAAACCAGCCATCCCCCACAACGTGACCCCTCTCCGTCTCCTAAATATGCAGTTTGTGTTCGCCAAAGGTGCCCTTGTTAATCTCCAAAGACTCGTTATCAGCCAATGGTGGTGCTTGTCTAATATCGATTGGGGCACTCGTAGAATAATAGTAGTTGCCATCATCGTATAAATCTTTGGACAGATACTTGTCGGCCGTGCTAGTTACCGAGCTGCAAGGATTGGATTCGGTGTATGATGAAGCGGCCGACGATTGGGGCGACAGGAATCCGTCGTTGACAACCGACGTTAGGTCGTTCGGAAAGAACACATTGGTAGCAATCGCTACGGAGAAGCTTGGTGGAGAAGGTGGTGGGCTGAGGACTTGTTTCGGGTTCAATTCCTTGTTTTGACAGTCAATAGAACAATACAGATTCTTTTCATCAAAAGTTTGCTTGCCGCAGATGCACCAACTATGTAACTCCATGTTATTAGAGATTGTGAGTGTGGAAGATGTAAACGTCTCGTGGACTGAATATTTTAAAGAGTGTGTGTTAGTGGCGAGATTGGGAGTGAATTATTTCAGAAGCGTGCGAATTGTAAGATGAGAAATGCGATGCAAAATTTCTTTTAACTGTTATCTATCTGATAGTTCAACATTTAGAACACTTAACCGTATTATATATCTTTCCCTCATGTGTTACGGGATGATAGTCGGGAATAAAATTTACTTAAGTGACAAATACTCGGGACCGAATATGAACGGAGTTTAAAGTAGTATGTATAAAAAACCTTTTGTATGATGATTTATACATGACTACGTTAAAAAATCGAGGGTGAGTGTAAGTAGTACAAACATTGTAGGGACAATACACATTTAACTAGATGCTATTGCAACGGTTCATTAGCAGTTAGTATTATTCTTATGCATAATTACTATACAATGAGCTGTTTTACAAATGTACTCTTATACAGTAAGTAATTTCCTAGTCTTCCGTATTTGACTTTTAATGTCTTTATTAGTCGGCGTATCCCCCATACGACTTCATCATGTGCGAAACTGAATGTTGGATCGTGCAGGTACCAGTAACAACGCAGCGACAATCACAAGCAAAGCAACAAAGTACCAATAGCCAAAATGATAGAGGTAGGGATCAGTACCGTCTGTAAGCTTTCGCGTGGGATGAGGAAAAGGATAAGAGCGACAAAATAAGTCATTGCTGCTTCACCAAGTATAGTAAATCCATGATGAACGGGAGCTTGGACGCTGTAGCAATCCTTGCAATTGGGCAATTGTTGCTTTATTTGCTCTCTATTTTTTTCCAATTCCAATTCCCACGCATTATCAACACACTGACCAATTTGCTCCCTTCCTCACTCATCCATACCATTCCCCCAACATTCTCCACATTCGACATTTGATTACGTTAAATTAATCATACTGCATTCACGAGACAATTACCTTTGTATGTTAGGGATTGCAGGGTAGATTGCAAATCGACTGTTGATTGTGTTCTTATACGAGTTAGTGTTTATTCCGTTCATATGTTGCGCGGAAGGAGATTGGACAAAAAAGGCGGGTGGAATATTACAATCAAAGTTATGTGGGAAGATTTGCCGAAGATGCTAGATGCTGTCATGGGTATACAATACTTATTGGTTTTAGAAAGTGCGTTTCTTTTTAAAGAGACCAAATATATATAAACCTTAATATGCTTTATCATGTGTAGTGGCATAAAATATAATACAAGAATGGTAGTGGATTGAAGATGAAAATCACAGGATTGACATGCTTGGTTTTGTTTGCAACTACGTATCGATTGTATCGATTGTATCGATTACGGTTCATGCAATACGGTATGGCTGATCAGAATCGAGATATTTATAATAAATCTTTTTTACTTAATCCGTTATAATTGATGTATATGGCACGTACTTGTTTGTAGCATTATCGGGTATTTACAAATCCCAAGCATCAATCAACAAATATATAGTTAGCACGCACACGCACATAACACACATAACATATCCAAGGCTTACAAAAAAAACAAAACAAAAAAAAAAACCTGTTCAATTTGTGTTCGGTATTTGTCGAAAAAAATTTTTTAAAGAAAAAACTTCCCGACATTTTTAGTTGTAGTACATTATGGCATATCATTATGCCAAAACACCCAGACTCTCGGGAATGAATTATGTTGATTACAAATTAAATTCACACACTTAATCGTGAGAATCAACTCTGCTATATGTATACCCGTTCTTTTCTTCTATTGTACTAGAAACTCGATCATATGATTCAAGCATCCGTGGGTAATACCAGACACCTGACACGTCGAAATCGAGGGAACATGTTCTAACTGGAATAACATGCGGGTTTTCGCCATTTGCAAATATGGCGTATTCCCCCACCCTCGTTTACCCTGCTTCGTTTCTGCCGAGCAGATTCTCTAACACAGTCCTCCCCTCCCCCTCCCCACTCCCTCCTCCTTTGTCGTCTCTACAGAAATGACTGTGACATCAAGCCATGTTCATATAATTGTTTTGCTACCCCGTTCTCAGCATACGAAACGTTTCAAAGGTTCCTCTATGTTTCTACATTTATTATTTTCGCCCCCTTCTCTCTGTAAAAAGTTGCACAAAAATCCCATTTGGTTTAATAATCTGACCAAATATGGGTGTGTTTAGAACGTTTCAATATTGCGTTGCGACACTGCCAAATATAGTATATTCGACCAACGAGACCACAGATATGAAGAATAATGATTATATTATATTGTATGCAGTGAATCATAACTATTTAGTGTGTCTAACAATAAATAGTGATCCAAGACCGTAATAGCGGTTACACGTAAGTTATTGATTCCAATGCCGTGTGCTGGTCGATTTTTTGACAGCCCCCCAAGAATGTAATGTCTAATGTCGGGAAGGCTGAATTTTGGATATCAAACATATTGATGCATCAATCTTCGTCCTACCCCAATGGGGACCCTAGGAAATGTACTACTACGGAAGCATGAACTTTAATTTGATGTCGTAAAAGATTGCATATTATATCATTCGGCTTACTTAAGACTGGTATTTGTATGAATCGTAATCGATCGGTGCTTGTAATCTCGGACAGGATATTACATCGACCATGTTTCATACAGCATTTACATTACCGTCCGTCATGAAAAAAGACATTGTGCGTAATCCTAATATACTGTAGTCGTGTGGTTGCTACTACTGATTATCTACACCCAACGTTGAACAACATCAATGAACAACATCAATAACAATACACACTAATGAAAACAAAAACAACAGCAGCAGTAGAAACAAACAGACACAATCAATTGCGACACAAAAAATTTTGGTTTATCGGGCATTGGACGTACAACCAATGATTATCTCTCGATTACGATTATCAAGATATCTAAAAATAGCCCCCGAACTTTGTTGATCAAACTGTAGCATTATCATATGCCATTGTTTGTAAATATTCAACTTGTACCGACACCATTGACGCCACCTATCAGTACATCGTTTGACAAACTGGAATCTAAGGGCCAACTTACCCTTCTCATTGATGTACTGTACCTGTCAGTGACTATGTCAATCAGACATCATTGACTACAAGATCCAACAAGCTGATTAGCAAAACGGTTTCTCTTGGCTCCTCGTTGTTTCCGCAATGTTTACACATCATTATTTATCGAAGCTACAATACCTCTCTGTTAACCGATTTTCAACATTTTGCTATGTGGCGTCCGTCTTTAATTTTGTTGATAAACAATTTTACATAATCAACCTGGGAACGGTACACAAACAGTTATGATACGTTGATGTCGGGAACGATAGCAAAGCAAGAGCATTGATAACAAGACGAAACTCGAACGTTAGCCATATTCGCTATCGGGTCGAATACTAATTGACATCATCCTATCAGCAACTTTTTTCGACGCCATCGCTGGGGGAGATTTGGATATGTTTTCGTTTCAGATATTTCAATTGCGTTATCCCATTTTGCTGGTCACGGACTTTTTACGGTCACGGACTTTTTACTGTCACTGACTGGTGTAGCCTTTTATGTATAGTCGGGTCAAGATAACGGTTCTGCATGTTGTAAATATTTACATTGTAAACCTCACAATATTTATTTGTTTTTTTTTTACCATTATCAATTGATCAGTAATACACGTTTGCCGAATTAGCGAATTGTGCAATGACGATGACAATGAGCGAAACTGGGTTTCTGAGCCTAAACACGCGAGCAAAATATTGCATGTCTATACTATGTTGATACAAGTTATTCCCGTTTGCTAAATAGTGCCAATTCGAGTACATATTTGATTATGTTTGTCTCCAGTGGTGCAGCCGGTTAGCTGGGACTCTTTTTCAATGACGAATCCCATTATTCGGACCGAACGCTGGAAGTTTCGGTAATACGGGAATGAGAAAGTATACATCCAACACTCGAACCAATAATAGATGCAATGGGTTGTCTTCACTAGACCTCAGGTGATGAACTTTGTGGTTCCTTGAAAATGGTGTTATTAGCCGCCATCAAGGTAATCACATTCCATTTTGGGCATGTCAATATACAGTTGCTTTCTGGCTGTCACAATAATGACCGCGTTTACCTTTTCAAAGACGCATTAATATAAGATTTGCATACAGACTCAGTTCTCGGAATATCGTTTGAATATTCCCAGTAAATGACAGTGCTACAAGTATCACAAGGTGGGTAGTTATGTTCTTTCCTATCCACGTGTTGAATAACCTCCTCAGTGATTTTCGAAAAAAAGTTAATTTACAGAAACTTCGTTAGAACTGTTTGGAACTGTTATACACGTGCTTTACGCCATTGTAATTTGGCAGGGGTGTAAAGTTCTACCAATAAAAGTCCCTCGCTATAGTAGAAGTTCTACCATGTATATGATGTACAGGACGTATATGATGTGTAGGATACTGCAAACGTGGGAAATACTGTGAAAAAATCAACAAACTTAAAGTTCATGGCAAGGAGTCCATATAGATGCAGGGAGAAACTAAAATTCATTGATGGACCCGATCCAGGTTTACAAAATAATAAGAAAAGTCAAAATAGCAACCCGTTGTTTGCGCTAAGCATGTCAAATGTCTGTTGTTTACACCTAGCAAGTTTCACTGCAGCCTTGTTCTCGCAATTAAATGCATAAATGCATGCTTATTGGTAGCTCTTACTGTCGTGCTACATCCCAGGATTTTTCTTTGTTCCAAAAAATTACGGGACCAAATGTGTTGGGGGGAATTTTTGAATAAGATTTTCGTACAAATATTGATACGACGATAGCATCGAACAGCGAATTGAGAATGTTTGATAGAGACAACAAAGCAGCACTCGAGACGCCACATGCGAAACAACAATATGTGACTTTCAGTATATTCAAAATTAGCCTGTTTTCTTTGTCTTTTTCAGCTTGCCTATCTAAAATACTGAAGTAACACACGGTACTTCAAATTTAG